ATTCGTTAAAAAAATGTTTTTAATAAAAATGTTTTGAGAGTTAAAGTATGGCCTATTCACATTGGCAAATGCATTTTTTCCAGTTTCTTGAATCTCTGAGAGCTCTAAATATGAAAAAGTAACAAATAACCTCCAAATGTGCATAAACACCATTTTACACCCTGTTGCAGATATTTTAGCATTCAAGAATCCACTTACTTTCCTGTACACAGCACCAACAATGGCCGTACGTAACCTCATGCCGGTCACAAAGCAAACATGGAAATATTTCTGCAGAATGAGGGTTTGCACGCAGTTACAAACGAACAGCAGGGTGGTGTAGAAGTAGCCATGCCAATCTGGGGCACTTGAATCATTCACAAACTGGATCAGTAGCCTAAGAAACAAAAGAACAAACTCGCATGAGTATAAATTAATATGTCAATCCAGCATCAGAATGCAGATCTTCTGGATTCAAGTGCAAGAAAAGTGGGCAAACTGGTTAAAGGCTCACTGCTGAGACTTCAGGTGTTATTTTCAAAGGATTAGAGAGGATTTGAAAATGGTCCAGTGCACAATTTGATGGCACAACTTTTCAGCATGCCAAAACTAACTCTTCACTGAAGCTCTTTTAAGATGCACAGCTGTTGTTTTGACAGAGTGGCCTTCCTACAGAGTTAAAGTCATTTCTAACCACATGGCTGTGAAAACACAGAGGGAACACTTCCACTTTCCCTTAACACTTTGCACTTTACTACTGCTTCTGAATTCAGCTCAGATGGGAATTATATCGGATTCTGATGCTGTATATTCATACCTAAGAATCTCCGGTCCAACAAACATCAGGACGTCATGAACAATCTTATACAGAGAGCTGACTAGAAAATATGGTCCAAAGGTTCGGCAGAGAGCGCAGAAGAGAGAAGGGTCGCCTGTTTTTTTAAGGGTTTTCACAAGCAAAATCTCTGACTCTTCAATTGGTTGTCCATCCTTCTTTTCTTCCCTTGCTGATCTTTTTGGGGAGTAGAGCGTCTTATCTACTGGCCTAAAACAAAAAGCATAACCCAATCAGAGGATTAGTCATTTTTGTAGTAAATCCATAAGCTTGTCTATTTGAGGGGGGGGGGATTCACTTCATGCTTCTGACCTTTTGACCTTGTTGCATTCTTGGTCCCAGCGGCGCACCAGTTGTGGCACCACTCTTTGAGACTTATCCTCTGTGTTGAGCGACCACAGATCCTTCTCTTCCAGAGGCCTTTTGTAACCCGTCATCATCAATCTATGAGGAAAAGAAAGGGACATGCATTAACAAGTAACAACACTCAGCCTGAATACAAGCTTATTCATTAGCAAAATGATGGCTCCTTCAATACTTGTTCCTGATATAGATAGTAGAGAGAAGAAGATAGAAGAGAAATTTTTAGAGAAGATAGAAATTAATGGGACGAATGGGATCAAGAAATTACATGAGCCAGAATACAACTTCTAGATACGTCAAAATTCTTGTTGTGCAAAAATCTTTTTTTTTTTTT